CCGAAGACCTTAGTCATGGTGGATTTTTTTCTTCGACCACTTGCCCACCTCAAAAGGGATGTTCAAAACAAGCGACCACCTAGCCCGAAGGCCTTAGTCATGGTGGATTTTTTTCTTCGACATTTTTCCACCCCAAAAAGGATATTCAAAACAAGCGACCACCTAGCTCGAAGGCCATAGTCATGGTGGATTTATTTTCTTCGACCACTTGCCGACCCCAAAAGGTATGTTCAAAACAAGCAACCACCTAGCCCGAAGGCATTAGACATGGTGAATTTTTTTCTTCGACTATTTGCCCACCCCAAAAGGGACGTTCAAAACAAGCGATCACTCAGCCCGAAGGCCTTAGACATAGTGGATTTTTTTCTTCGACCACTTGCCAACCCCAAAAGGGATGTTCAAAACAAGCAACCAACTAGTTCAAAGGCCTTAGTCATGGTGAATTGTTTTTTTTCAAACAACTCGAACACTTCAACCTGCCACTGAGGTCAAATAGAAGCACACCAAACACGACAAGAGAGAATAGTAAATCATCATTTTCATTAGTGTTACCAAATGCATAATTACATCAAACAACATAAAAAAAATGCATGCATATTTTTCTCCTCACTTTCCTGCTCATAAATGACAACTCGAGACCGGTCAGCCCAAAGGCATTAGTCGTGCCAGATTTTTTGTTCATGTTTCACAGCTCTACGTGCACCTTATTTTTTGAATTTTGTTAGTCACCCAAATAATAATTCTAAACATATCCATATACTCTACAATCTCAGCAACATTTTTCCCAAAATATCCAAACAATGAACATTTCTCCACTAAAACATGCTAAGAGACTCCATATATTAATAAATTGTGCCAAACATATCTTCACTGCCGACAAGAGTTAGGATTAATTTTATAGCTGAAGGTCGAGAATACCACTCCAAATTATCCTAACTATCCAAAAAAGAATGATTTTTGCCTTTGAGACTGCCACCGAGTATCTGTACCATCAAAACTTGTCTCCCATTATCACCACGCTTAGATGGATTCATGCTCGTTCATTGTGTCCTCGAAACTCAACAACTCATCCTTAATATCTTGTCAAGACTCGGGTCATTTCGTTGTTTCCGCGTGAGTTGTCCACTCTATCCCATAACCTTTTTATTCTGGTCTTTGAAGTTCTATCTAGGTTGATTGCTGCTGAATCAAAGCTAGGTTGTTGAATTTTAATGGCTTAAAGTTGTATGGAAATTGTTTGGCTATCACTCACTTACTATTTGCAGATGATTCTCTTTTGTTCTATGATGCTTCTGGCCACTAGAGTCAAATCCTTCTGGATATCTTAGCTAAATATCAAAGGTTTACTGGGCAAAATGTGAATTTGGACAAATCTACTATTTTTTAAGCAAGAACACCCATCAGTCTGTCCAACATGAGGTTTGCAACAATTTGCTGGGTATTTGAGTGCACAGGTCATCCGTATACCTGGGCATTCCTTTGGGGATTGATAAATCTATAAGAGAGGTTTTTTATATTGTCTTGGTTGTTGTGAGGAGAAAGCTGGAGAGCCAGAAAAAACAGTTTATTATCAACAGCTGAAAAAGAGGTACTCATTAAATTTGTTCGCAATGTTATTCCTATTTTCATCATGCTTGTGTTCCCTCTTCCTAAAGGAATATGGAAGGAGATATCCCAATTATGTGCTATATTCTGGTGGAGTTCTGGGTGTTAGGACTAGGGATGTGCATAAGAAAGACATACATTGGAAAATCTCAAAGGGTAGATACAATCAGCAGTTTTGATGCCCATAGAACTCAAAGCTCTTCTTGGATGTGGAACTTTGGATGACAGTGTAGTCCTCTTACCAACATTTCTTCAGAAAGGATGTCAAGGATGGGCTTAATGCTAGTATTCTAAAAGATCCTTGGATCTTGGGACTCAAATATGGCATTCCCCAGCTTAAGGAAAATTGTATCCAACACTTGACTTTGGTGTCTCAACTGATGGAGAAGGGATGAAGGGCATGTAACTGACCTTATAAAAGAGTTGTTTGAGGACTCAGTGGTTCAATAGATTCTGAAAATGAAGAAGTTAGATCCAAATCAGAGAGATAGATGGATCTAGATTGTGGATCCCAAATGGTTTTTCTGGAACAAGATACTTCATTTAGACAGAGCTGAAGGGAGTTCTTTTACTGCTAAAGATAAATTAGCTAAGAAAAGATGTTGGAATCTAAATGACAAAAGTAAGATGAAACACTTTGTTTGGAGAGGATTTTTTGGTACCCTTCACGTGGTTACCAACCTTAAAAAGAAGAGGAACTAATGTGGACTTGATATGCAGGTGTTAGTTATGGTGAGGAGGAGGAAAGTATTGAGCCGATTGTTGGTGGCAAGTCTCAACTCTTGACAAATCAAAGATCTCAGAGGCCTGTATTCAGCTCTCGACCTACATATTATGGTGGCTTTGGAAGGCCAGGAACTTGTGAGTATTGACCGCGCGTCGCAACGCGGCAAAATTAAAATTTATATTTTTCCTTGACTAACCTCTACTAACTAGTAGTAGTGGTGAGCAAGGGTCGAACCCACAGGGAGTGTGAATCAAGTTGTGATATTCTTGTATTAATTGAATTATAAAAGCGGTAAAGGGGGGATTGGATTTAATAACTAAACTAATTGAAATTCTAGTGAAACAAATAAAATCTAAACAAACGAAATAAAAATAAAAATAAAATAAATAAGAGAAATTTCTAGTTCACGGTTCCGTCTACACCCTCGACTGACTCGTCTAATCAACTTTGGTATCAAATCTCGCTATCTTATGAAATTACTAGCCCTAGGTAACGACACGGTCTGTTATCCGAATTTTTCCTTATTTTTAATCTAACCGCGAGACGCTCTACGATTAAATCTGACCTCTTGAACAGTCTAGGAAACGCTTCCTAAATTTAATTCAATTAGTCGCTTTACGATTTAGAAAAATAGGCTAGACTAAGTAGTGAACTCAACCGCGTTCGTTCACTTAAATAGGCCGTGTTATCCCCGGTAGTTACCATCTTCCGGTTACCTCTTAGGAATTAAACACAACAACAATTACGGATTGAAGGTCTAATTCAGATGTAGATATACAAAGTCTAATCTAGGTGATCAAACTAAATAAGACTCAACACATCATGGTTAATTATTCAAAATAACACAAGCAATTCCAAAAAGATAACTCAATAATCAACCATAAATTAATCAAACATCATCAAGCCATAGGGTTCAACTTCCCCGGAACTAGAATAAAAATCTATTCTAACATAATAAATAAAAACAAAAGAAAGAGGAAAGAATTATCCCCTTTCGTGTTGCGGGTGCGGTCTCCCTCCGCTATTGATTGGATTCCTCGCACGACTGCTCACTGTCCGTAAAATCCCTCTTCTCTTTTGGTGCGTGTATGCCTCTCTGCGTGGCGGCTCCTACGTTCTCTGTTGCAAATAAAATCCTTCAGCTAAATATATTACTCCTTGGCAGCCAATCAATTTTCTCCCAATATCCCACGGCTTTCTTTTTAATTCTCCCCTCAAATAATTCTTCTAGTTGGGCTTAGTGTTTTCCTTTTCCTTTTTCTTTTTCCAAGTGTGGCTGCTTAAGTATTTGGGCTTCTTGTATTGGCCAATAATTGGCTGCTGCTACTTTTTAGGGCCATATCCAATTGGTGCACCCTGATGATTATTCGCCAGAAATTCCATCCATTGCTTCGAATCCACTAAATGCTCTAAAAATACTGAAAATAATACATAAAACATCAAATCAAATAAATTCATCCAAATAATATATAAGTCAAAAAAAATATAAACATGCGCATAAATTAAGCATATAAAAATACACTATTAAATATATAAAATGCGCACATTTTCCGACCAATCAAGTATTCCAAGAGCAATGACTACATGACAAGTTGATTGTCTGATTGGCTTGGTTAGAGTGGAGGGAGTTTCTCTCTAGAAAAACTCTCTAGGTACCGCTGTTTGGATTCGTGGTTGATCAGGTTCTTGTGTTCTGTTTTGTTCTACTTTTCTTTGTAGTTGTTTCTCTGTTTGTGTGTTTTTTTTGGTTGTTGGGGACTGATTTCGAGCTTCTATCCTCGCCTTTAGCCACCCTGTTGAGTTGATGGTGGTGTGTGCTTTTAGGTCACATGTGTGGTGTTTATCCCTTGTATTTGGTTTTGATTCGAACTAGTTGGTTCCTCAATTTGTAAGACTGTTTATTAGTTTTATGAGTATTTTTGTTGTTCCGAAAAAAAAAAAAACTAATCTTTTTAATAATATTTATGTTATAAATTATAATCACTACAAAAATCAAAATAAACCAACTACGTACGCAGGTGAAAATTTTTATGCTAAACATTTTTGTTGCTCAATTTTGAGACCTTCCTTTATCAATATTTTTCAGAGGCCTCCTTTAGGAATGTAGAAGGCTATTACATAGAAAAAGTTACGTTTTATCTAACCACCCCATCGTTTCGAATTTAATTTCTTCCACTAGCCTTTCAAGGCCGTAATTCGATACAACAATTTACAGGGAGATGTTACGGTCCTATTATCGAATCATTTCGTTAGAGTTTGTAATATTTAGATCAATTATTTCGACGATTACACGATAATCTAACGGTTACAAACCCCGACGAAATAGTTCCGGACCATATCATTTCCCCAATTTATAATGGCAGATTTTTATATTAGCATGGCTAATTTAGGCAGTTGACCCGTGCACTTTTTAACAATAATTTATATTTATACTAATAAGTGTTAAACATTTGTTTATATAATAATTTTTTTAGAATATGATTGTTTTTTTAAATAAAAAAAAATAAAAAGACAAAAAAAAAAAAGGAATAGAAAAACACATTACACGTTGTTGATTTAAATCTGGACGGAGACTATTCACTCCTGTCCATCTCCCTCCACCATTAAATAGCCACACATTCCCCTTCTCAAAATACACACAACACATCTAAACAAAACCAAAGACAACATGTTGAACCAATGCCTGCACAGGCCTCACGGCCCAACCACTCCCCAAACCGTCCGGCAACAGCTTCCCGGCAAGCCTTTCCTAAATGCCGTCCAGTCGTCCCCCATATTCATTTTCTCCCGCCAAAACTCCGTCCCGACAGGAAAAGGACGTGCCCCCCGGAGGCGGCGGCCGGCCGGCGCCGCCGTGAAGGCCCTGATGTCGCCAACGGCAACCACGGCTGGAAAAAAGACGAGCGTCAAAGCCACTGTGACGGTGCTGGAGACGGTTGGGGGAGCTCTGTCCCACCTGGGAATGGAAGGTGGCCTAGATGGCTGGGCCGACTTGCTCGGAAAAACCCTTTTCATCGAGCTTGTGGCGGCCGAGCTCGAACCCAGTGAGTCGACATCGACTCTCTTTATGTCGTT